TCTTTCTCCAGTCTTGATGCCACATTCTTCTTCATAGAGTCGAGCTTCTCAAATAATTGCTTATCATGCAGATTGAATAAGTATGGAGAGCGGATATAACCCTGATGCACACTTTTCCTAATTTTAAGCCACATTGCTCTGTTTACACAACAGCTTCTTGGTTTATGTATAGGTTTTATCTGAGCACAATTTCAGTGTAGGTGTGTCTTAAAGTATGCCTTTGATGTAAACCAACTGATTATGCAGAAGAAATAGACTTGGTAGGAAATAGACACAATGTCACAGTAAAATTACCAAAGAGCCAAGGGCAAGGATTTTTCCCTGGAGTCAACAGTGAGAACACCTTCCCTCAGAGCTAGCACCCTGAATTTAGGCTTCGAGCCTCATAAATTGTGAGAAAACAAATGTATGCTTATCAAAGCCACCCACTTGTAGTATTTATATTATAGCAGCACTAGATAACAGACAATAATGGCTAGTTTCCTGTGTGTATGTGCTTGTTAATATCTATCTTTGATTTTAGAAATCCATATAGGGCAACAATGTTTTATGTCTGACTACATAAAATTCCCTAAGGGAGCTCTTGTCTTCTAGTAGTAAGAATCTGCCCTGCAATCCCAAAGGCACATGGTTTGATTTCATCAGCTGCTCTTCAGTGGAAGGATGCGATTCAGTGCGATTATCTGCCTCTGAAACCTTGCTGGAGGGTCTGCTATGGGTTGGTCCCGATGACAGAAACAACAACGAACCTACAGGTTGGTGATTCTAACTCACCCAGTGATGTACAGGTAATCTGCTTCTCCATAGACTACAGCCTTTGTGGTTTGAATTATGTCCCCCATAAATATGTATCCTAACACATAAATCCTAATCTGTACTCCTGGAAAAGAGAGTTCGGGCTGAGTAATCCATAGGAAGTAGCACTGCTTACTCAAAGGCTGTGTGCCTCTGGACATTTGAATCTCTGGGAGAAAGATCCTCCCATTCAATCCACAGCCTCAAAAATCCAATGTTAGGGGAGTTCTGGTGGCCTAGTGGCAAGAAGCTGCACTGCAATCCCAGAGGCGCATGGTTCAAATCCACCAGATACTCTGCCGGGAAAGGAGGGACAATCTCCTCCTGTACCAGTCAGATCTGATTTGACGGTACACAGACACACAAAATAATAATAAAAAAAAATTTAAAAAAAAATCCAATGTAGGGGCAACCCCACGGAAGTGTTTCCAACTCCACAGCAATCAAGTTGAGAAATTTTTTGTTTTGATTTTTATACCTATGAAAGATCAAGATCCTAGGCATTGTGATGTTATTAGTTGCTGTTGAGTTGACTCTGACTCACAGGTCAAAACCTTGCCTGGTCCTGTGCCTTCTGCACAGTCTCTGCTGTGCTTAAACCTGTTGTCTTAGGTGTGGTTTCAGTCCATCTCATTGAGAGTCTTCCTCTCCTCCACTGATCTTCTACTTTTCCAAGCATGCTGTCCTTTTTCCAGGACTGGCCACTTGTGATAGCATGCTGAAAGTCTGTGACACAAAGTCTCACCACACTTGCCTTAAAGGAGCGCATGGTGTTTTGAGTCAATAGTATTTTGAGTCAGAATCTTTGGAGATATAAAAGAAATTCAGCTAAGCAACAGAGCTGAGAATTGGGGAAGACGCATGCTAAGCCACGTGAAAATTGCTGAGGAGAAGCTTAAAAAGACAAAGCCCTTCCTCTAGAGGCAACAGATAGAGAAAACCTTCCACTAAATCTACCCTACATGCAGACTTCTAGCTTCCAAAATTGTGAGAAAATACATTTTTTATTAAATCTGCCAACTTGTGGTATTTCTATTTTAGCAGCAGTAGGTAACTAAGACAATGACCAAGAAAATTTCATGGGACACAATTCTACAGTGTTGTACAGGAGATCACTATGAATTTGAATCAACTACACAGCAACCAGTTTGGTTTTTGAGGAGTTTTCTTTTGGAAGGAAGTTGGGTAAGGATTTACATAATATTAGTATAGTGTGTGAATGTATCCAGGTGCTACCAGAAGGACTGAGAGGTCAAATCTACCAACTGAGAAAGATGGATGGTCTCCTCTCACAAAGATGTAAGCCTTGGAAACATGATGAGGAACACTCTGAGGTAGAACCAATGTGGGTTTAAGTTTTTAAATGTAATTTATTTCCATTCCGGTGTAAGCAGCTCTTGGTTTGAACAGTTTCTTGATTAGACTCTCAAACAGCCCTGTACTGTAGAACGATGATATCAACTCAGCATTTTTCTGCTTGTGCCTCAATGCTATTATTTCCTGCCTGTCTCTAAGAAACTCTTCCTTCATCTACGCTATTTATCTTAATAGCTACATAATATCATACTAACTGGATATCCCATAATTTGTTTACCTCAACTCCTTTTGAAGAATAGTTAGGTTGTTTGGAGTTTCAAGAATGATTTTATACATATCTGTGCTGGGGAAATTGCTGGCTCAAAGAGCCAGTAAATTAATACTTAATGTATGTTGTTCTTTTGATCTTAGATGTGTGCTTAGATGTGATCTTAGATGTGTTTCTATTTCCATTCACAATGTATTACAAAAAACCTGTTTCTCCATATCCTTGCCAACACAGGGTAGTAAGAAATAGCTTGTTCATCAGATAGGTTAAAAATAATGCATCTCCTTGTTTTAATTTGTAATTCCTTCATGATAAGTGAGGTTCTGAATCTTTTTATACTATTACTGGTCTTATTAATTTATTTTCCTGTTGATTATCAGTTTATGTTTGATGCATTCTTTTTTGTCTATCAGCTGGTAGAAGAGTTCGTAAGATCAATCTGTGTATCTAAAACATCTTAATTTTTTGTTAAAACATGTTCCAGCTGGGTATTATCCCCCTCAGATCTTTTTACAGTACTTTTATATGCTGCTTCTTTTTTTTCTTCTTTTTCTTCTTCTTTTTTTTTTTAAAGTAGCCCATACATCAGCCCTTTCTTTTATGGTGCCTGGGAATATTTACCTGTATTCCCAATGGCTTAAGGAAACATTTTATTTATTATCCTGTTTGAGACTAAATGAGGTTAAGTGAATTGTCCCAAACCATACAACTAATAAGGAAGGTGAGGAAGAAAAGATTGGCTCTAGAAATGGATTCCTTGGTTCCCTGTGTTGTTAAATTTAATTCACAATAAGGCAGCCCATGACATCTTCCGAAAAAAAGGAGTCAGTGGTTAATTTTGCTTGCACCACTCTTCCACATATTTCTTTCAAACTTTTAAATGAAACAATGAGCATAGCCATGAAAAAGATGACACAAACAGGTTTTAATATACAGATATTTAATTGATGGTAAGAGACCTGATTGTACTGGGTGCAACGTATCTGTTCTGCGGGAGAAAGATAGGCTAACTCTTTCAGTCAAGACCGATAGAGCCTCTAAGCCCAGCATCCATTCCTGAATAATGCATTGGGTTGGATTTGGTTTATGGAGTTAAAGAGGAGGAACCAGGTGCTGCCCCTACCATTCACGTTTGGAGGGTAACCCTCTCCACAGGTGTGTGTGATTCATAACTCCTCAGCTCACCTACATCTGTTTGTTGTTGTTATGTGCCGTCGAGTCACTTGCGACATAGCGACCCTATGTACAACAGCCCTAAATCCTGCTCTGTCCTATGCCAATTGCACTGCCTCTGACACACCCATCCCGATTACCCCAGTCACTGAATCAATCCACCCTCGTAGAGGGTCTTCCCCTCCTGCGCTGTCCCTCCCCTCCCCCCCAAGCAGGATGTCCTTCTCCAAGGACCTGTCCCTCCTTACAACGTGTTCAAAGTATGTCAGATAAAGCCCCAGAATCCTTGTCTCCAAGGAGTAGCCTGGTTTAACCCTCTCCAGGATGAATCTGTTTGTTTTCCTGGCAGTCCATGGTACATTCAGTACTCTTCTCCAGCACCACAGCTCAAAGGCATCAATCCTCCTTCTCTCCTCCTTAGTCATTGTCCAACTCTCTGATGCATAACAAGTGATTGCAAAAACCATGGCCTGTACCAGACACACCTTAGTCTCCAGAGTGACACCATTGCTCTTCAGTACTTTGGAGAGGTCCCTAACAGCAGACTCTCCCATTGCAATACGTTTTTTGATTTCCTGGCTACCGGTGCCAAGAGTGTTGACCGTGGAGCTAAGCAGACTAAAGTTGTTAACACCTACACCTAGTTCCAGAAAACTAACTCCCAGATCGTTTATTTAACGCCAGGTGAGGGCATCTGCAGGTCTCCTTTACCAGGTCACTTAGATGTTTCCAGCTAAACCAGACTCAAACTCACTTTCAAGCCTTTTTCCGCCCCACCCCCTAGCATAATTGCCTAAACCAGAAGTCATGGTTCTTCCTCCACTTCAGCCTCCACAAACATCTACCCTCTATCCCCTGAATACATCAAGATCTGTCCCACTCTCACTCCACTGGCCCACCTGCTCCAGGCCAGCGTCATCACAGCAGCGACCCCTCTCTAACCTTCGAGCAGCCGCCCTAGAAGGTTATTATTTCTGATGCAAATTTCACCATCTGCCTGCCTGGTCGAAACAATCCTAGCTCTGGAATAAAAGTCCACAATCCTTAAAATAGCTCAGGACGTTGTTCCTGACCTGGCCTCGCCCTCCCAGCTCTCCACTACAGGCCCTCAGCTTCTCTGGCTGCAGGGTCCCTCCCAGAACCGGACGGGAGGGCGGGGAAGAGTTGGATCCGACAGGACATCATTGGGCGAGACCAAGGCCAGCCCAGACTGTGACTGGGCCTGCAGAGCAAGGTTCGGCCGCCCCGGGCTCTGCCAATCCTAGAGAAGGGCGGGATGAGCTTGAGGGATAGAACCAATCCAGATAGGGGGCTGGAGCTAGGGGCGGGGCTCCTGGCTCCGCCCAGGGCCCGAGCTTTCAAGGCCTCTGGGTTCCAGGTGCTGCCTCCGCCGCTACCACCGCCACCACCACCGCTGCCGCCACTTGCCACCCGCGACTCTGCAACCACGCGCAGCACCCCGACACAATGGACCCGGCTCAGGCCGCTCAGATAAGCGAGGAGGTGGCCGAGAAGCTGCTGCTGTACCGGCGAGACACGTCAGGCTGGAAGATTTGCCGGGAAGGCGTGAGTGAGGCACTGACTGGGTGGGACAGGATCCCGGTAGCCTTTTCTCCTTAGGGCCAGGGTCCCTGGAAGCCCCAGGTTCCTCCTATCCCCACCCCCCTAATTTCTCTGCACCCTTATCTCCCAGAGCTGAATTGAGAAAGGGAGCAATTGGGATTGTTCTTGTATCAAATATTGCTTCTACTGCACTCACTGTGACCGGAAGAGGTAAGTAGCTTCGCTTTGGTTAAGTGACTCACCCAAGATCGTTTGGCTGGTGAATAGTAGTTACATTTGGTACCTAAAGCATCAGCCTTTGAAGCCTTTTTCCTGTCATCACTATCCAAACTCCTCTCTTTGTTGTTCCCAGAAACTGGAATAGAAAATAAGTTTTTGCTTACTTGATACTCTCTCGGGTGTTTAACAAATAGCTCTAAATTGCTTAGGGAAACAAAATTGTTTGCAGGCTGTTATTCATCTCATTGCCCTCGAGTCAAAACAGACTCATGGCTCTCATAGCTGACCCTCCAGCAAGGATGGGGGATTGAATATCCTTTCTCCCACGGAGCTGCGGGTGAAGTCCAACTATTAGAGGCACCTCCTTTGGGTTAGCAGAGGAATTCTCTGTGGACTACACCACCAGAGCACCTTATGCTACCTTCTAAGGACGTCGGAAAACCACCCACAGCTCTTGGAATCAGCCAGTGGACAGCTCCTTCTCCATCACCTGCACTGGGAGGCAGCTAGTTACAGGACCAATCTCCACTGGGTGACCTTGGACAACTGCATCTCTCCAGCTGCACATCTGTGTGAAACAGGGATTGAGCCCACAATGATGGCCCAGAACCCTCTCAGCTCTAAAATTCTACGATTCTGTGCCTTTTGACAGAATGGAGTTTCGGTTTCCTGGAGGCCATCTGTGGAGTTTCCAGGGAACCTGTAAGTGCATGCCTTGTGTCAAGTGTGTCAGAGCGGCCGCACCCTTCCTGAAACCTACACCTGTCTGCTTCCTGAAAGTGTCCCATTACTCCTAGCACCTTGCGAACAGTTCGCCACAGCCACTTCCCAGAAAGCCAGGAGGACCTCCCATTTTTAACTATATAATCCTTTTCAGGACACCAGATCCTTGAGAAAGCTTACTGTCCCAGGCCTGCAGGACGGTGGTGGTGGTTGTTAGTTGCCATCCAGTGAACAGTATTTCATCATAACCCTACAAACAATAGAGCTGAACCTTGCCCTTTCCTGTGACAGCCTCAGGAGCTCCATCATTCTCATGCAGGAATGTGGGCTGGTACATTTCAGCCCTTTTTCTGTAAGCCTGTCCTAAAGAGATATGACTTGGCCCACTGTCTCTCTAGTCTTTTTAGTGACACTGTGCTTGTCAGAATGTGCCCCATCAGGTTTTCTGTGGCTGATTTTTTTTCCACCAGAGGACAATCACCAGGTCTTTCTTCTGAGGTACCTTGGGGTGAACTTGAGCCTCTCTATTTTACTTAACAGTGAACACATTAACTATTTGCACCACCCAGGAACTCCCTAGTTCTTATATATAATCCCAAATAAATACATCTAACCAATGCCTTGGGGTCAGATTCCTTCTTGTATTCTAGGTACCGAGGGGAAGGTATTGTGTCTGGATCCCTGGAGAAAGTGTGGAACTGTGTGAAGCCTGAAGCTGGAGGCCTGCGAGAGAAGTGGGATGAGAACGTGAAGAGTTTTGAAATTATTGAAAACCTCACTGATGTAAGTCTTTCCAAGCTTGTTGTCCCAAGTACAGAGTCAGGGTCCTGCTGCAGTAACCTGGCCCTGTCTCCCAAGTATAAGATCCATGACATTATTCAACACCGGGGACTCCCCTGTAGACCCTTAGTGCCTAGATTGCACCATCTTTCTCAAGTATGAGTAGGAAGTGGTGTATTACAGTGTCAGAGAAACCCTGCACAGAGCCAAGAGATCATGGTAGCAGCTGGCACAGAGGTGCAGTGTACCTAAGGGCTGAGGTTACAGAGGGTGGTGTCTAGATTTGGCCCATCTGCCCTTGTTTGAAAAATGCTGCTCCAACGGGCAAGGTAATGAATAGCGAGAGTCCTGGCCACAGAGAGGAGTCTGTGCCAGTCTTAGAACTCTGCCATGTGTTCACGCCAAGACTACAATAACCTCATTTAAAAAGGTGGGTTTTTTAAATAGTAATTAGGGATCTCTGGTGGCCTAGAGGTAAGAATCTGCACTGCACTCATTAAGGCACATGGTTTGAATCCTCCAGCTGCTCTGCAGGAGAAGGATGGGCACTCTCCTCCCATGTGATTACCCGCCTCTGAAAACCCACTGGAGAGTCAGCTATGGGTTGGTTCCAACTCGGTGGTTCACAACAACAATTGAGGGTGGAGGATATGATTATTTTAAAAAATCAAATAATTTCTGCCATTCCCTCGGCAAAAATATCAGAATTCCAAAAAGGCAAATGTTTCCACTGCTACACTTGCGCCTTTGATGGGCATGTGCTTAAGAAAGGAGGAGATGTGAACTTGTGAAGCTTAGTTTGCAATGCTTTGGTTAAACCTTGACATCGATTTCCCAAATTGTCCCTCTGACACACTGGGGATTGTCCACCCCCAGGCAATGTGTGATGGGATGATGCCAGATGAGGAGTGGGCATACGTGATTGTCCCAGTGGGAGATGGCAAGTGGAGTGAGAGACTGCATGGGCGTGCAGCCCGCTCTCGAGTGGGTCTTTTGGGGAAGGACACATGGAAGGTGGCTCATCTGGGAACTGTGTCCCACACCCTCCACTGGAACGTGCACATGCACTGACTCTGAAGTCAAAGATGACTCTCGTAAGAGATCCGTCAGCCCCACATGGTGCCACAGCCTTAATATCAAAGCCGTGTGGAGAAGGGCCCTTCTCCTTTATGCCTGACTTCTCCTTCATTGTGACCTTGAGATAACAGGAGTGTCCTTACTTGAGCTGATTGGAGAGTGGACAGACGAATAAAATTCTAGAGCTGCCCCCTCCTAGGGTCAGCACTAGGATGAAAGCAGAAAGCCACTTAGGGCATCACTTTTAAGGAGCTACTAATTACAGAGCTGATTGGTTTTTAAAAGGCCTGCCTGCTAAGTGCTGTACCCTAGTGCCTTTCTTGTCTCACCCCACTTCTGGCCTTCATCACAGTCCATTGCCACCATTGGCTTTATGGGTAAGTTCCTTACCCTCTCTAAGCCTCAGTTTTCTTACCTGTTAAATGGGTTAATAACACCAATTTCTCAGAGTTATGAGAGACCAAAAGAGAGCTTTCATCCCACCTGTTTCTTACTTGTTATACACTGTGGATTCGGAACCGACTCATAGCTGACCCTCCTGTAGGTTTTCAGAGGCATGGGAGGAGATTGCCCGTCTTTCTCCCACAGATCTGCTGGTGGATTTGAACCATGTGTCTTTGGATTCCAGCTCAACTCCTTACATGCCATGCATGGCAACTCACTCTTGGAACATAACTTCAGAGTAGCTAGGTAACCATGAGCAACCAATTTCCTTGACCCTCCAGTTTGTAGTGCCCACTGAGTGTCATTGCTGTTGCTGCTTTCCAGGTCCTTGGGCTTAGAAGGGAACAGGCTAAAGAGCCCACGGGTGGGATGAGGGCGGGAGGTGAGGTCTGACCACCAAGCGAAGCTGGACTTTCCCTCTGTCCTGACAGACCCTGTGTGTCAGCAGAACCTCCACCCCCTCAGCTGCCATGAAGATTATCTCCCCCAGAGATTTTGTGGACCTGGTGCTCATCAAAAAGTATGAGGATGGGACCATCAGTACCAATGGTAAGTGGTGGCGCTGAGGTGCTGCCCACACTCTTTCTTCTCCCCCTTTCAGCTCAGAGGACCTGATGGAGGTCTCCAGAGCCCTCATCCCCTCATCCTTCGGTTCTGCTTGCTTTTGTGGAGTTTGGAGAGGAGTCTGTGCCCTGGGCATCTGAGGTGGACATGTCACCATGCCTGTAACTTCATTTCCAAGTCCCAGATTGTCTCAGTTTCTTATTATGATTCCTGGTGAAACCCAGAATTTTTCACTTGCAGGCTCGAGTTTGACTTCACAAAAGCTCAGAGAGCAGGAATTTTGTGGCCTCATGGCCCGGCTACCCGAGGGCTGTCATACCCATCCTGTCCTGTTTTCTTGGGATGAGCAACCTCCTTCCTGCCTCTGTACCTTCTGCAGTCTGTCCTCCCAAGGGCCATGCCACTGCCTTTCCTCCTGAATTGGGAGTGAACACTTCCAACAACTGCAGTTGGAGAGAGGACATCTTCCACTGCCCACTCTGAAGTGTTCTGCTCTCCAAACACTCTGGCAGGCTTTCAGAAATCAAGTGTTTGAGAAAATTCATGAGTGTGGGCATGGAGTGCATGTGAGTATGTGTATGAATTTGTGTAGAGGCAGAAGTGTGAGTGGGTGTATGAGTTTGTATGCATGTGTGAGGATGTATGTGACTGAGTATCTATGACTATCTTGAGCGTAGACGAGAGGAGTGTGTCAAGAAGTGTGAGGATGACACAGGACAGGACAGAGTTCAGATCTTTTGTTCATAGGTCGCCATGGGTCATACTCAATGGCACCTAACAACAGCAACATATGAGAGCCTATGCATAAGCCTATGCTAGGTGAGAGTGTATGTGTGTGTATGCATGTAAGTGTGTGTTAGCATGCAAATTGCAAATGTGTATTTGTGTCCAGGTCTGTGCATGAATGTGTGTGAGTGAGTGTAAGAACATGGAAGTGGAGATGTATATGAATGTGTGCGTGTGTGTGTGTGTGTGTGATTGTCTTGTACATGTGAGAGTTTGTGAGTGTGTGTGTTTATGCAGCTGTAAGGAGCGCTGGGGAGAGGAGAAGGAGATGAGCTAGTCCCCTGCTGATCCCTCTGGCGAGGTGGTGGGGTCTGGATGCACTAAGGAAGTACAACACATGCAGTTCACTGACTGACCCTCGTATCTCAAGTTCTAGTTCACTGACAATCGGCCTTGTCTTCCAGCTACCAATGTTGAACACCCTTCGTGTCCTCCGAGGCCAGGTTATGTGAGAGGATTTAACCACCCTTGTGGTTGCTTCTTTGAACCTCTACCAGGGTAAGAATCATACCCCAAATTGAATTACGTTTCTCCGTGTTTAACTGTGGCCATTCCATTAAAATGGACATAGTGATTAAGATTCACAATAATAAAAACACCTAGCAAAAAAAACCAAAAAAACCCACAAAACTGCCTAGCAATTCTTTAGCCATTGGCGTTACAAAACACTATCCTATGAGTGGCATGGTGTAGAATATTAAAAAACCCTTGCCACTAAATGGACTCTGAGTCTTACTAACCCTACAAGACAGAGTAGAACCATCTTCCCCTCCCAGGGTGCCCAAACCGTTCGTCGTTTTGGAAGCAGATGGCCATGTCTTTCCCTGATGGATCAGGTGGTGGATTTGAACTGCTGACCTTTCAGTTAGCGTCAGAATCTTTAACCACTTCACCACCGTTGTTGTTATTTGCTGTTGAGTCGAAACTCATTTCATGGCTGACCCTAAATTGCATGGAAGGAGACTGCCCATCATTCTGCAGAGAAGCTGGTGGGTTTGAACCACGTGTCTTTTTTATGGCAGTGCAGTTTCTTACCACTAGGGCATTTTGGGGGATGCTTCAAGTCAGAACCAACCCATAGCTGACCCTCCAGTGGATTTTCACTAGCTGTAAATCACACAGGAGGAGATTGCCCCTCCTTCTCCTGTACTAGGGCTCCTAATACACGGTGCTACCTGGCAAATGGGAAAGATTGTGAGAAGGCATTACTTCCACCCCCCTACCTCCCCCCCCCCCCCAACCCAGCCATGTTGCTCGTGGTTAAAAGGGCCCCTGCAGTGGGCTGGGACCTCAGTTAAGTGCAAATTCATGCTCTTGTGCTGCAGCTTAACCCCTGGTGCCGTGGGCAGGCACGCCAGGGCCTCCAAGGCAGTGCGTAAGGCATTACTCTTGATGTCCTTTTTGAGTTAGTTATTCAAGCCTCCAGCATCCTGAGCTATATTGTGGTTTAGTTGATCAGAGGAGGAAGCAGAAGCTGGGGAGGTTAAGGGCCCTCTGTCCAGGGTCAGAGGCTGGGAAGCTGGCAGAGCAGGGTTGCTCTTGGAGCATGACCCACCAACCTGCAGCAGCTGACAGGACAGCTGTTCCACCCCACTGGAATCACCAGTGTTATCACCCTGGACAAGGAATGGGGGAAGTGGCCGAACATGGAAGGACTGCTCGGAATGACCGCTCAGCAACCATGGCACAAGCTGGGGCAGAATGGAACACGTGCCCCCTTCCATTCCCATGTTCTCAGAGCCATGGGCAGATATTTACCAGGACCTTTCTGGGCAGTTCAGGTCACCAGTCGGTCTTGGGAGCCACTCAAGTAGACAGTGAAACAAAGTGCACCTGCAGATGTGCCTGGTGGAACCCTGTGGTTCCTGCGTGGCCACCAGGAGGCAGAAGAGGCTATGCTGTCAGCCACAGTCCAGGAGACACACTTCAATGCGAATCCACACCCAGCACCTCCTTGCTCAGCTGGCTTTTTTAACATCACTTAAGCAGTGTGGTTGTTTTTTCTTTTTAATGCAGCAACATTTAGTTTTAAAAATATGATAGTAGGTTCCAACACAAACACATACTCCTTCACTCGATTTTGCCCCAGACACAGAGATGCTCCAGATCCAGTGATTGGACTGAGGGTGCTGGCTGGGCTCCGCCTCATTCTCTCCTCCTCCACTTCCTCCTCCTTGGCAGAGTCAGGTATTGGGATCAGCCCTTCAGCTTTGCCGGGTCTGATAGTAGCTTTCAGAATAAGAGGCAGAGCCCTTTCTCATTATGAACTGGTCACTATGGATGACATTTTTAGAGAAAACTTAAGAAGCAACCAGCCCATCATGGCTTATGCCAGGTCACAAAGACGACTGCAAAGAATTTTTAAATGTAGTGATTGGGTTTCACCAGAGCCAAGAGTGAACAAATTTCAAGTACAACCTTGGTTTTCACCTCTCGTTAATTTAATAAAGCCCTTGATGCCCCAGGAATGTTTTATGTCAAAGTCACATACACGCGGACCTCATCTCCCACAGTTGTGAATCTGAAGCCTACGATGATGATCCTTCCCTAGTTGTTACTGGGTGTCGTTGAATTAGGTCCAGACCATTGTGAGCCTCTGGTGGAGCTCGAGGGAGCTCTGTTGGCCTAGTGGTCAGACTGAGCTGCAATCTCAAAAAGGTATGCCGTTTGAATCCACCAGCTTCTCTGTAGAAGAATGTTGGGTAAACTCCGGTGTGATTTGCTGCCTCTGAAAACCTGCTAGAGGGTCAGCTATGGGTCAGTTCACACTCAGTGGCACACAACAAACAACATGTAAAATAATGAAACGCTGCCCAAGTCCTGTACTAAGCTCATGCTCACAATATCTCCAGTGCATAAGCCCATTGTTGCAACCATGTATTGGTCTACCTCCTCAAAGATGTGTTATCTTTCTCCAGGGGCTGGTGTCCCAGATGATGTGCCCAAAGTATGTACATGAGACAGAGCCTCACCGTGTTTGCTCCTGAGGGATGGTCTGGCTTCACTTCTTTCAAGATAGATTTGTTTGTTCTTTAGGTACCCACAGGCTTGTTCTAGATCCTATGAAGCAGCGGCCCCAGCAGCAGACACTTACTAGAGTCTGACTGTGTGTCAGGCACCAATCAGAGCACTCACATAGTGTTACTCCTTTCCATTCTTTCAACAGCCCAAATGTGCTACTGCTATTTCCATCTTTTAGATCATGAAACAGGGCACCAAGAGGTTTAGCATAAAGCTCAAGTTCACACAGCCAGGAAGGTATAATAGAATCTGCATTTTTTTTTAAATTTTTGTGTGCGTGTACCATCAAATCAGATCTGACTGGTACAGGAGGAGATTGTCCCTCCTTCCTCGGCAGAGCATCTGGTGGATTCGAACCGTGCGCCTCTGGGATTATAGTTGCAGTTCCTTGCCACTAGGCCACCAGAGCTCCCCTAGAATCTGCATTTAAACCCAGACATCTGTCTCCAGAATCTATATTCTATTCCTAATCATTTTATTGACCTCTCAAGATAGATAAACCTCTTGTGGGATTTAGATTCTCACGGGGGCAGCAGGAAACAGACAAAACACACACACACACAAAAGTAATAGCAGATGTTCACACTTGTAATAAATCAGTTGTTGGTAAATCAAAGTCAGGTGCAGAAGCTGGGGAAAGTGGGAGTGGGCCATGGGGGTCAGCGAATACATTGCTGAAGGATGGTATTTGGGGAGATGCTAAGAATCATGGCTTATCTGTGGAGTGTTTCTAGCAGAAGGCTGAGCAGGGGAACAGCCCTGAGGCTTCTTTGGAACCAGCTTGGAGGCTGTTGTGGCTGGAACAGAGGGAGCAAGGGAGGACCAGGGGTTCTGTCTAGCGTGGAAGCAGGAGTCAGACTCTGTAGTGTTTTGATGTGAAGACATGGACCATTTCTTCTCCATAAGATGGGAAGCCATAAGAAAATTTTGAACACGTAGGGCCTTCTCCGACTTCAGTATTAACTACCAGGACAAATCTAGAGTGTACAACTGAACAAGAGGAAGCAGACTAATTAGAGGAGTCTAATTAGCAGGAGTCTAGGCAAGAGGTGGTTGTGGTGATGGCACAGATGGAGGGGAAAGGTGTTGGGTTCTGGGTTGTTTTCCAGGTGGGGAAGTCTATTCATAGCTGAGTCGTTTCTGGCAATCTGCTTCCATAAAGATTACAGGCATGGAAACCTTTGGAGCAGTTCTACTCTATAACATGGGATTTACCAAGAGTTGGAATTAGTTTTTTGACAAGGGGCTTGGTTGCTTGGTTTTCTGTGCCGAGGAAATATGCTACTTTATACTTTTCATCTTAGTTAATCTATATTATAGGCTGTTATCACAAGCTTTTTTTAGTAGACTGGGTGACTTAAAACTCCTCTCTGTGGCCCCTTTTCCTTCTATAAATATCACATACTGGTGTGCCTGCAACAGCCATTATATACTGGGATTAGTTTGTAATATGATAATTTTGCGTCTGCCTACTCATCCTCAGTGAAAAAATGTCTCCTCCCATGTGCCCTAGTGCTGACCCACAGAGGAACATGGTCCCCCAGTAAAAGTTCTCATCCACCTGTTCATGTTTCTACCCTACGAACAGTTAATACAGGGTGTGTTAAGTCAGTTAGTGGTGCCCTGGGCTGTGCCTCAGAATCCTGGGAGGGAGAAAAAAGGGCCTGGGAAACGGGGGCACAAGATCTGTTAAAAATACAGATTTCTAGATATAAGTCTCAACATACTTGCCTCTTCCGAGATAGGTTTGTTCCTTAAAATGAAAACAGAGGAAATGCAAAAATGTATCATTTCTTTTAAAAATGACAACAGATCCATTATATGTAAGGATAAATCCCCTATTTTTATGAAAAGTGGCTGCATTTTTCAGAAAGCAAAAATAACAAGAAGAGCAAATTTTTATTTTTTTTATTTTATTTTTTTTTACGTTTTGTTTTTCTCATTAATATCAGGCTCACTGAAGCCCCCTTCTACCGTTACATTAAGTTTCGTGTGAAATCACTTGTCAGGTAACCTCAGGACAATGTTACCTTGTCCATGTAAGACAATGCAACTGGAAAGGGAAAAAAACCCTCTTCATATTGTTAGGAAAAATAGTTTTTAATTTGCTGATGGCTTGAAAGGGTCTCGGGAACCCCTTAGCAATTCCCAGACCTCCTTGAAAACTGAGGTTCTCTATGTCTACTCCTCCCAACACCTGACAGAGGGAGTTTTCACTGAGTGAAGGAATCTGGAAGGGAGCTGGAGGCAGAGACTGCCGCTCCTGGTCCATGCAATGCTTCCACGAGAGAAGAGGTCACATGTTTCCATCCAAAAATCAATAGGTGAAGAAGGGCAATGAATTGGGGCTTCATTAAAGATTAGACTAGTACATTGTGTACAGATAGCTGTGCTTCCCTGACATTTGTCCCCAAGCCTTTTGCGGCTGACACTTAACACAGCTGTCCTTGTATTTTCCCAGGGAGCCCGACAAGACCCGCGTGATCACATTCTTCCACACCGACCTCAGCGGTTACCTCCCACAGACCGTAGTGGACTCCTTCTTCCCACGCAGCATGGCAGGATTCTACGCCAACCTTCAGAAAGCAGTGAAGACATTCCATGACTGACTGTCCCCGCTTGGGAAAGGACAGACCGAGCTGGCTGACGAAAGAGCTCTGGGTGTTGGGACGCTGACGATCTCAGGAGAGCCAGAGGGTCTGATTTACTATTTGGAACCTGCAGTAAGATATTCTCTGACAACACCAGCCCAGCCCTTCCTGCTTCCTCTTCCAGCCAGGGGTTTGGTGGGATGTGCCGTCCATGTGCTCTGCCCTCTATCTGCCATTTATCCAAGCACAGCTCCCTGGGCACGGTGGAATGGGCTCTACTCAGATTCCATTGATCCACTCTGATCTAAGGCCTTTACCTTCCCATCACAATCAGAGATGTCTCTCCCTGATTCTCAAAAAGAACTATGCGCAATATTTGAAAACCAAGCCCTGCCACCTTTGCCCCATTCAGAGCCCTCTCAGACCTGCACTGCAGACCCTGGTGTAAGTTTTTCTAACACTGTGATGTCAACTTGAAAGCAGAGGTTTACAAAATGATATGCATTAAGAAAAAAGACTTTCTGTATTCCTTTACCATTTCCCTATCCTCTCACCCTCTCACTCCCCTACTTTCCCTGCACTGAGACAAATCTATTCCTGGGTAAAGCAGGCAGCTTGGATCTGTAGCAGATCGAATCTGTTATCTTGGCAGCGAGCGCTCTTTGGAAGGGATTCGGAGCTGAGCAAGCTGCTCATCTTTGCACATGAAAATCTGAGAAGAAGAGCCTTCTTCCTTTTGGGCGTTTGGCTTCCAACTCTTGTATGGAGAGTAGGCAGGCATCCAGTGGTCAGGACGTAGATCGGCCAGCAGGAAGGGTGGAAGGGCAGCCCTCCTCCCAGCAAAGCTGGCTGGGATCCCCTCTTAGACTGTGCTGCGAGCTACAAACCTCCCAGAGTCCTGGCCCACCCCATCAACAGCAGAACCAGGAAGCACAGCTTTGCTGTCTGCAGCAGATCTCAGCAGCCACGTGACTGCCTTTCCTGCTCTCCAGTCTAGGTCATGCCATCCAACAAGGAACTGTCAAGGTGCCTTCTGGTACCTTCAGCTGCGGTGCCCCTTCCTTATAAGGAAGATTCCTTAAACCTCACCAAGTTCCTCCTTGTAGAGTTGCTCAGGGTATCATAGGCTGTGCAGAAAATTTCCATGTACTCCTCAGCCTCTGTCCTTCCAAATGAAAAACGTTTTTCTTATTTCACAGGCGCTTCCCAGCACTTGGATTCTAGGGTGATTATCTCCTGAATACACCAAAACCTGACCTAGGACTTTGAAGCATGATGACTAAATATCAAGGGGTATAGAAAACACTTCTTTCCATGTACTAGGGAAACTAGAGCTTCTAGAGACATGCCGAGAAGATCATCCAGCACAATAATTGTACTTTTTAATCCATTCAAAAAAATGTTTCCTCATCAGGAAATCATGGACCCTTAAGTTTGGTTAGCTTTTATTCATCCACTATCTCATTCAAGAAGTAATTAGTGGTTCTGTACTCTGCAGCAGGGGAGTCCCTAGGTGGTATTCACATAGCTGGTAACTAACTAAAAGGTTGCAGGTTTGAGTCCATCCATTGGAGCCTCAGAAGAAAGGCCTGATGACCGACTTGAGCCACTGAAAAACCTAGGGCGCTCAGGTCAACTGTGGCACACATGGGGTCACCATGATTCAGAACCAACACGATAGCAACTAGTGTGTTTTGGATTCAGTGCCAAGGACTAAACCAGGTTCATTGCCAAGGACTGTTCTAAACCAGCTCCTCATGAGTGAATCGTGTGAATGTGGCTGCATGATTCAAAGAGAGCTTTTCTTCTGAACTCTGACATCCACACCTTGGAACTTGACCATCTTAGTTAGCAAGATGGAGCTCCCCTGTCGAGTCCTGCCCAGCTAGATGTTAGGCCAGCATCCCAGGGAGAGCACAGAGTCCTCTGGATGCACTCTGCCTGTGTCTCCAGCATCAGATTAAGCTGATCTGAGCAGTGGATTAGGAGCCAGAACATAAACATCTTGGTTCAACCGCTGCCAAATACTTAGCAGCTCTACATGTTGACTCCTTGTCTTTTAAAGGAAAATACAGGTGCTTGAATACCAAGCCCAACTCAACTTGCTTCTTCAGAGTGTAGATGAGATAATCTCTGAAGCTGTCAAATCCTGTGCAAAGCCAAGAACTAGAGCTGCCCAGGAGAGGCCCCGAGGTAAATGCATTTTCACGGGTGCTGATGATGAATGAGTGATTGTTAGTGATGATTGTTGTGCTCTCTGAGGCTGACTGAAAGCATTGTGTTCAAAGGCATTTGAGATAATGTCAGTTTGAAAGAAGTTGGCTGAGAATAAAATAAATCCAAATATAAATTCCATCTTGGACTGGAGGAGGTTTTTTTTCCCCCCGCCGGACTCATGTCACTCATTTTTGACCTCCTGTTACTGATTGAAGACCCCACTGGTCTGGAGAGGCCCCTGGGCAGTCAAAGTGGCCCTATTAGCCAAAGGGAAGGTGGCCGTCTGGAATGGGTCAGAAGCTGGAGGAGGTACTGGGAGGGCTATAAAACCCAGCCATTCTTGTCCTCAGATAATCTCAGCTCCACCCATAAACTTGATTTTCTAGGTCTCCTAAAGACATTTTTTCCAAGTCTCAGGCTCATAGCCAATACTTTGCTCACTCATTTCATCACTTTCCAATCTATGGAAAGCCACTTTCTTCTGTACCACACTGGTCCAAATGCACCACTTGGCTGCTTAATAGGACTAAAATAGTTCCCTAGCTATAGGAACTCACTACGAGCACAGATGGTGACATGCTGGAGGACAAGGAGTGCACCTTCTGTATCTCTGTGTCCTTGCCAAGCACTGGGCCAAGCACCCCCTGAGAGATCTTGGCGGATGCCTGTGGAGTTGAGACAAACCTTTCCTTTTTAAACTGTATCCATAGTGGAAATTTTTAGTAGATTTAAAAAAAGCAAAAAACAAACAAACCAAACACCAAACTGAACCACATGGGGTCTCAAATTTCTTATCCACAGTAACTGGCTGACTTTGATCATACAAGGCAACATACAAGAGACAATCTAAGCCAGGTATTTCTCAGATTGAATGGAACCGTGAAGTCATTAAAGGGATTCTATTAAAGTTTTGGACATTACCTAGATCTTCTAAGAGCTTACTACCAGGGAATAACTTCTTAGCTTCCTATGGATTCAGAAGGGGCCCTAGGTGATGCAAATGGCTAGCATGTGCTGGGTTAGGTTCTGGTAGCAGTGTAGAAAATGCTCAGAGGTAACTAGTATGTTCTCTCTAAAGAAGGTTGCCACAGACAGATACTTATTAATGAATGTATCAGCTTTATTAGGGAGGTCTGACTGATTCAGAGACTGGGGTAATGGGGGTAGCTGTGTCGGAGACAGTAAGATTGGCACGAGATAGAGCAGGGTTTAGGGCTGTTGTACTAGGGGTCACTATGAGTTGCAGTTGACGTGACAGCACAAAACAACTGGTGGCCTAGTGGCCAGAAACTGCTACAATCCCAAAGGCACAGTTTGAGGCCACCAGCTACTCTGCAAGAGAAGAATGGGCAATCTCCTCTCCTGCAATTAACTGTCTCTGAAAACCTGCCAAAGGGTCACCTATAGACTGGTTCCAACTTGATGGTACCTAACACAAAATCAGGTTTATTAGTGAAAGAAAAAAAGACATACAAACAGCAAAGCACTGGGCACTAAGAGACAGCAAATCCTCTCTGGTAAGTGAGAAGGAACATAGACCTACCAGTATTTATGGGGTCTTCTTCCTATTCTTTACCTTGCCAATTAGTTGCTTGTTTCGATTATTAAGAGTTGGTGAGAGGCAACTTTTTCTTACATGTTGACCACAGATGTTCTCCAAGGTCATGGGCAGTTGCTGTAATTCCCTAAGGGCGTAGTGCCCCGATTTTCAAACAGAACTATGAAGCAGGCTGGGGGCGTTTGCCCAAAGCTGCTGCAGTTCCTGCTGGGACCCTCGTCTCCCTGTTCCGTTTTTCCTCTGGCCCTAAAATTGTGTTACTAACTAAGAAATTGGAGGATCTAGTTCACTCAGCACCTCAGAAGAGAGGATGATGACCGATTTCTGAAAAATCAGTTATTAGAAATCCTATGAAAAGGCATTTTATCCTAAGGGAGTGGTTGGCACAATATAAATACAGAATTGCACAAGAGTTACCATTAACAATTATAAATATTAATCTAAAATCTGACATTATCAGTAAAAGCATCCATCTATGAGTGGATGCATAAGCTGAGAGACAAGCTGAACAGGTGTGTACGAATGAGATTATGCATGACTATGCAGGTGTGCAGGTAGTATTTTTAAATTCACGTTTAATTCACTATACATAGGTTCACGTGGTATAGCAGAGCAAACGTGGGAAAATTATGAAAACTTCTTAAGCATAATCCAACACATTGAAAAAATGAGTTTTAGGGCCTGGGAGCTCACTACCATCGTCTTGAGTCCATTGAGCTGAATTTGTACAACATAATCAATGACACTTAACAACAGCAGCATCATAGAGATCAGTTGGCCTGGTGGGCAGAAAGTGATGCTACCAAGCCAAAGGTGGGTGACTCTAATCCACGGCTCTTGGGCCTGTTTTTAATTGTTTTTAGTCAAACATTCTTCTAGGTCATATAGCCCTGGTCTGTCCACTTTCTGTACAGAGGTAACGTGGTTGCTATGAAGTTCAACACTGTGACACTGATGAGTCAAATGCGAGAATGGTTACCCATGGTGGACAGTGTTTGGTGGAGCCCCCCGATTAAAACAAACTTGGAAGCAGGTGTGGCATCCACTTCCGAAATAGCTTGCCTCCGGAAAACCTATGAACCTGGAGAAAGGAAGAAAGTTATAAACATGTTTGGGTCTTTCATTCATAGGGTTGCTATGAGTCACCTACGACTCAATGGCACTTAACAACAAACAACAACAATCTATAAAAACAAAGTTCTTTATCTTACTCTGGTGAGGAGAAATTAAGGTATTAAAAACG